GGGCCGCGCCCCCCGCCCGGCCCGCGCCCCTCTGACCGGCCGCTGGCTTTTCGGGCGGCTGCGCGAGGCCTTGGGTCTGGACGTGGCCGGCATCTTGCGCCTCAGCGACGCCCACATCCTCGCCCGCGCCCGCGTGCAGCCCCCCCGCTCCCTCCTCATCCCGCCGGATGCCGCGGGCGCCGAGGCCGGGGCCCTAAGCCTGGGTCTGGCAGCGGCCGCTTCGGGCTGGCCTTTGCCTGACTCCTTCCCACCTCGGGCCGGTCGAGCCGCCAGAGCTTTCCTAGCAGAGCCAGTCCCGGGGCCCACGGCCCGGGCGTCGGGGGCCTCTCTGTGGAGGGCGTTTCGGAAGGCGCAGAGGTCCCGAGAGCCGGAGCAGGGTGGAAGGGGAGGTAAGAAAGGAGGGGGGGGGAGGGCGCCCGAGGCAAGGCCAGGAAGAGAGGGAAAAAGGCAGGAAGAGACGCCGGGAAACGGGATGGCGGAGGCTGCGAGATAGGCGCAGTGGAGGAGGATGACGGGGGCGAGGCCGACAAGGAGGGAGATGGGGGACAGGGGCAGGGGTCTCGGGACGGGGAGGGCGAGGGGGGCCCGGGGAAGAAGATGAAGGGAGCTGAAGAAGGCTAAAAGGGAGTAAAGGAAGAATCGTCGACTGAGAGAGGACGCGCTCGAGCGAGGGCTGAGTTATTGCGAGGGAGTGAGCGATCTGGGGGGGGCTTTCTGCGGCCAGAAAGGATATATTCAGCTCGGCATCCCGTGTGACCGACGCAAGACCATAATCAAAATCGCTTCTGTGTTACTGTACACTTGCTAGTATTATCATCGCCCCGTACTCCAAATTGGCCCTTCCCCTCACCCCCCCGCCCACGCCGCTTCCCTCGTCCCCAACATCCTCCAATCAGGCGCCTCCAAGGCCGTTCGCGCGACCTCTATGTCGCTGCGTATGGCCGCCACCAGCTCTTCCAAGGAGGCGAAGGACCTCTCCGGCCTCACGTAGCCACACACCAAAAACTTGAGCTCCTCGCCATAGAAGTCGTCTGGGAACTCGTGCAAGAGGTGGGGCTCCAAGGTCTGCGGGACAGCCGTCGGCCAGGGGCCGTGGAGTGAGTGAGACATGTATACATATGGGTTGTTGCGTGCGTGTGGTGCTCACCTTCTGGCTGTTCTTGAAGTAGGGATTGGTTCCGATACTGGCAACGGCCTTGTACACGTCACCCTTCAAACACGAGAAGCCGTAATAAATGCCATTCGGCCACGAATCCACCACAGGGCCCACTTGATCCATATTGAGATTTGCTGTGCCGATTGTAGGGCGGGAGAGGGGTCACGGTGAGATCCACGCCAAGATAAAATGCGGCACGGGAAGTCGGGTCCGAGGTCACCACGATGGCTGCAGGTGAAAACAAGACACAAACTCATGGTGAAAATGGGGAGGGATTTTCCTGCTCCTCTTCGTGAATTGAAAGAGGGTTACATCTTACCTGTTGGGATTCCCAGTAGCTTGCTTCCCCTCCCAAACCCTTTGACCACCGAGGCTTTAAGCAGGAATGGAAGCTGCGGTGTTGTGCCTCCTGCCCCGTTTACGGCACTGCCATCACTGCCTCCGTCCCCAAGGGACTCTATCGACATGACCTTGTAGCGGCGGCTGCCTGAGACGGCTGTCGCGCTGGTGTCCTTAGTCGCGCCTGTCCGTGTGCCCATAAAACCAGATTTAAACATCGTGAAAAACCGGCGGGCCAAGTCTGCGCGTCGCGCTGGTCTGGCATCGCTAGCTGACCTTGGCGCCAGGGTCTCCGGCCCCATCACGTTTTGTTGCGAATCCCAAAAAGTCGCACAACGCATGCGCGTGACCAGAAGCTGGCAAGGCTAGCGCGTTGTAGGTTGGCAGACTTGGCTGTGACCACGGTCCATCCAAGCGCCGTGACTGCGCCGTAACTACCGCGAGGGCAACTAAGGCCGGCGGTCCCAAATGATGACCTTCCGACGTGCACTGAATCACATCCCATCGAAATCCGTCCGCCCACTTCTGTTTCCCCCCGCAGGTTTGTATGCGATGGTGCCTAAAGGTACTAGCATGGCACATCAGCTTTGGGCATTGGCGTCCCGGGTGGCCCGTGGTAGCACTTGGCGGGGGTCAACGGTGAGGCAAGGCCACCTGATACCATCTTCCCTCTGCGGGGCAGCGTTCTCCAACCCCCTCCGACCCCGAAACTCTGCTATGTCATCGTCATCCTCTTCGTCTTCGTCCTCAGGGGGCTCCCCGTGGTCGTCCTCCGCACCGCCCGCTTCGCCACCCTCTCCCCCCTCGGGTGAAGCATGCGACGCCGCCAGCCCCAGAGGGGGGGCGGCAGGTGCCGTGAACTTGTCCGGGCCCTTCTTTGACGTGCGTGTGTACAGCGTGGAAGAAGCCATGGAGAAACTGCACCTTCAGCGCCCCGCGGTTCCGCTTGGCTTTGTCTGGGCGCACGAGGAGAAGCCGGATCCTTCCATTGACGGACCGCGGTCTGGTAGGTGGGGCTGAGGGCGACCGAGAGGGGGAAAGAGGTGGTGTGGCCGGTAGGCTCTTGGTATGGAAACGTTTTGTCCGTGTTGTCATCCCCAACTAATACGGAGTCGAACACGAACAGCACCGGTGCTCGATGACAGCGCCGAGGGAGGCAGCACGGCCGGCGAGGGCATGCACCTTATCAAACGCACATTCCAGCCCAGCGTCTTGCGACGCAAGCGAGCTCACGGCTTCTTGAATCGGCTGAAAACCAGGGACGGGAGGAAAATCTTGGCCAGACGGCGGGCAAAGCACAGGACGCGGATGGCGGGGTAGGGGGATATCGGAACGGGGCGAGGAGTGGGAGAGGGTAGAGGCCGCCGACTGCGCGTGGGAGTGCGCAGCATGTGTATAGTGAGAGGGACGAAGCGAGTGAAAAGCCAGAAGAGAGGATATATGCCTGGCAGGATAGCGATTACGGAAGGGGGCAAAGAGGTTTTGGAGCGTTGTGTGACCGAATAGCCGTCTGGCTCGGAAATGCCTAGCTGTCGTGGCATTTCTAAAGCAGCAAAATGTACCGGAAAATATTATGGCAGGAGGTTGCGTTCAATTTCTATTTACACTACTTTTGGCTGATATCTCCACAGTCATGGTCGGCAGCCTCAGGCGCTTCGCGGAAGGGTTCATGCGAACGCCGACGTGCAAAAGGCGAGAGCGTGAAGCACTCGGCTACTGCAAGCTGCCCTTCCCCGAGCCCTGCCACCACCTCCCCACCATCTCCATACACAGTATCTTGCCTCCCCCGTTCTACAATACAAAGGCCCGCTGGTAGACATCGTACCAGCGCGTAGACCAGCTCCCGACGCTGTCGTCGATGAGCCCGTTCACAAAGTCGCCGCACGCGCGGTCGTTCAACTCGGGCTGGAACCGCTGCCGCAGGGCCTCAACCGCCGCAGCCGGACGCCCCCCGAAGCATGGCAAGTTGTCGTTGGCGTTCATGGCCATCTCCACCAGCAGGATGATCTTGTGCCTCTGCCGTCGGAGCTCCAAGAAGGTCTTGACGCACAGCTCTCGGAAGCGACGAAATGCTGCCGAACGCGGTCCGCCCAATACGTCCACCATCTCTGCCGTCAGCTTGAACGGCGCCCGCTCGAACTTCACGTTCCCGGGAGAGCTGGCCAGTAGGAAGCCAAAGTCAATGTGAATCACGTGCCCCTCCGCGTCCAGGAGAATGTTCCCGTTGTGCCGGTCCTTGACCTGAAGGAGGAAGCAGACAATGCTGTAGGCGGCCAGGGACTCCAAAAAGCACTGGCGCGCACGAGCCAGCGCAAGCTCTCCGTCGGGTTGACGCGCCCCGAAAAAACGCTGGAAGAAATCAGGCAGGGTGGTGTAGGAGGGGTCGTTTCGGCGCAAGGCGTCCAGGGAGACCGTGTCAGGAATGGCTTCGATCAAGCCCCCGTCGAAGGACGTGGCGATTATCCCGTAGGGGCGTACCCAGACCGGCACCTCGGCCTGGCGAAGCACGTGGGCAATCTGGCCCAGCAGCTGGCTGGCGAATTGCTCCTGACGGAGGTCGTCGTTGGCCTTGACAATGACCGGCACTAGGCGCCAGCCCGGGAGGTGTCCGATTTCCGACCGCCCGCGGAGGCGAGCCTCCTTCTCTTTCCAGCGCTCTTTGAAGATGACGGGAGGCTGTACAGCCGCGGCTGCGGGGGAGAGGGTCGAGGACGGGTCGCAGGCCTTCGCCTCTAGACCCTCCATGCCAAGCGTGCCTGAGCTGCTGCCGCTTCTCCTGCCAGCACCTTGGCCGCCGAAGCCGCTCGTGTCTGTGTGGACCGGAGCAGGGACCTCCGTCCGCGGACTCCCACGGCCCCGGCCCCGCTCTCTCTCTCGCCCTTCGCGCGCCCTCTCAAGCCGCCTCTTCCCGGGGGACGTGCCCGGGGAGAAGGTGCCGTAGTCTTCCACGACCGCCGGCTGCGCCGCTCCCAGCGCGCTTTCACTCAACGTCTTCCCCCAGCCCGGCCTCCCCCTTCCACTCCGCCTTCCCCCCTACCGCCTCAGGGGATGCTATGGTCCCCTGTCCCCGCTGTGCCTCCTTACTCTCCTCACATTGCCCCTGCTCCTGGGCTTGTCGGAGCTGACTGACATTCAAGAGCACATGCTCCCCTCCTTCTCGCCTTCCCCCCTCCCCTCCCTCGGCCGCCACCTCGCTCGCCCACTGCCCCATCCCGCCCGCGTCCAGGGTGGCTGCAAGCCCATCTACCCCCACAGAGGAGGAAACGCGGCGCATCAAGCGAGGCACATCCGGGACCATGGACGGATCCGCTGGAAGCAACGGCTCCCACTTTCCCAGCTGAGCAGTGCCGTCCCTCTCGTCCGCCTCCCCGCCCCTCGTCTCCTCCCCAGCCTCCCCCTCCTCCTCCCGCCTGGGCTCGCCGATTTTCAACGTCCACTCCTTGTCTCCAAATTTAAAGGTGTGCGAGATAGACGGCATGCCCTCCCCCACCCCGTCCATCACCTGCTTCCACCACTTCCTCCCGCCCCCCTTTTCGCCCCCGCAGGGACCGTGCCGCCGGGGACTTGGGGCGTAGTCCACCACCTCCAGGCACACGAGGCAGGGCACGCGCTCCTTGGTCGAGAAGGCGAAGGACTCGGAGGCATGCAGGCGCCAGACGCGGTTGTAGGGGTTGCCGACGGGGACATACACCAGGTTGGACGGGAGGAGGCGCCGGCCGAGCTCGCGGAGGGAGACCCGCAGGTTCGGAGTCCGCCTCTCTCGGGGGACGCTGCCCAAGGAGCGGGCGATGAGGACGAGCGCGTCGAGAAAGCGGGGGAGCACGCCGAACATGTCGTCGTCGGTGCCCTGGTATCGGCACAGATGGAGGGGAAAGCGCGCGACGGGCGAGTACGGCGAGTCCCCCCCGGGGGCGGAGGGTCCACTCAGGCGGACGGGGGGCGGGAGGGGCGGCGAGGACGCCGAGGCCCTCTGCGCATCTCCTTGCTCCGACGGGGACCAGGACGGTGCCTGCGGCGTCTCTCCAAGCCGCGCCACGTCCACGTAGGTGGTCCCCTCCTCCTGCGCATCCCCGTCTCCCGGGGGGGGGGGGCGGGCCCGACCCAGGCTCGAGGCGCTCGTGGTGGTGGCAGAGGAGGCGCGGTCCTTGGAGAAGTAGCTGTCACGGCTTCGCGTTCCCCGGCCCCACCGGCGGGAAGCCTGCGTAGGGCGCTGCAGGGCCGACGAGCTGCCCCGGGAGGGGTAGAGCTCCTGCACGGTCCGGCCCTGCTCCAGCCGCCGCGCCGCCCGCTGGCCTCGGCTCCTCACCTCCTCGATGAGCGTGCCCACCTGCCGGCGGCCCTCCTGGTCGATGCCCGAGCCATCCAAGCAGGACGCGAGCAGGAACCAGTACAGCCGGTGCGCGAACTGGATGGAGCGAGCGCTCTTGTCAAGCAGGAAGGCCTGCAAGCTCCCGCTCGACCAGAAGGCCCCGTAGAGGAGGAAGGTGGCGAGCTGCGGGATGTAGAACTCGACGGAGGAGGGCTCTTGCGCGAAGGCCTCGTCCATATCGCCCAGCACGTCCTCGTAGGTGAAGAGGCGAAGCAGGAGGTTGAAGGCGGCGGCCTCGCCCCCCCGAGCCCGGCCCAGGTCGTTCCAGAGGCCCCGGAGGCTCTCGGTCTTGGCCGTCCAGTACTCCTTGGCGCGCTGTCGGGTTGAAAAGCGTCAGAGGGGAAGAAAGGGCGCAGTCCAGCACTGCCGACAGGTATGACCCCCTCCGGTCCCGCCCCCCACGCACCTTCATCTTGGCGGTGATGCTGGCGATGAAGTCCACGTCCCGTCGGTGCCCGTCGTACAGGTCTTGGCCCCCGGCGCCCGGGGCTGCGGGCTGATGGTGCTCCAGCAGGCGCGTGGAGGCGTCCACGCGGCTGAGAGCGCTTGTCAGGAAGATGTGCTTCTCCCGGGGGGCGGACGATCGGAGGTGCTCCAGGCAGACGGCTTGGAGGAGGATGGAGGCGAAGGAAAGGCCCACGAGCAGGTATTCCGCGCGGGAAGCCACCAGGATGGCCACGAGGAAGACGAGCCGGGCCGTCACAATACCCATGTTCAGAGCTTCCCACGCCCACGGAAGGAAGGTGTAAACAAGCCGGCGCCGATGGACGTAGCTGTAGATGTACGGGCTGATGAAGAGGATGCGGAGGGTGGCCAGGACAGCCTGACAATAAGGGAGAAACAGACTCCGATGAGAGGTCTAATGCAGGCAGCGATGAAGAAGCTGGTTGGGGAAAGTTTAATAGTAAAGCACTGAAATGCATCATGCAGCATTCGTGCATTTAGGGATCCCCAACGGGAGAGACATGCCGGAAACTAAGCACAGGGCGGTTCCCTCGCAACAAAACCTCTTCAAAACTGTGCTCAACATTTATGGAAACACATGCCCGCAGACGCTCGTGGAAATGCTTCTCGGTCCTCTTTTCACAACTCCTGACTTGTGTCCTTACCAAGTCAAAATTGCAGGCGGAAACATCCAAGAGACGCACCCACGGCTGTCCCTTCTCCCTTCCATAAAGATTGCCTTCTCGGAAATACACAGCGACCACGGCAATGTCGAGAGACAACGATAGGAGAACCGGAAAGATGAACATGACCTCCGACTGCCGCTTCTCGTTCGGAGGAGCACAAGAAGCTGCACGAACAAGCTGCCACGGCGATAGCCGTGATAGGGGTTGCCCGTCGAATTGCCTTCGTAGCGAAACCTCGAGGCCCTGAAAAATAAAAATATGGGATGGTGAGCTGTATATTGCGATGGTCGGATCTGAGGGGTGGTCCAGGCGAAGCTGTGGGCGGCCGTGGTCAGGGCCTGGAAGGCAGAGACTCTCCCCTCGGAGGCAGTCCTCGTTCTTTTTCGGCGAGTGGCGCGAACACTTGAAAGTGTTGCCATAAGTTCTGGTCATAGCAAAGGTCATGTGGTCATATCAAACCTGTTTAGGTGGTCTGTAGGGACCCACCCATGCACATCTATACTTGTGAGCCCTTCTTTTAGATAAAATATAAATCAATCCAGTTGTTTAGATTTGAGGTGGATGGGAGGAAGACGATCAAGCCGTTCAAAGGGCTTGAAACTAGTGAGTGCGATTATTCCTCATAAAGCCTTTAGGAAACATATTAGAGACTTTTATGGACTCTCTGCATGCTGTAGAAATAAATTGGTGAGTAGGAACCCGAATTTCCTATTTTATCCTACTCGGATGCCCTCCACTCGACTCAGCTTAAAAGAGTCCCCTATGAAATCCACGGAGGATGTTCTCACGGCACTTAATCGAATTATGAACCTACGGGAGTAAGAGCCTCAACGACAACATGACCTACATGGACTATCGACAACAAAGTTTGAGGAGCTACTGGCCGCCGCATACGACAGGTCGCTGGGCATCAAGAGCATGCCATCTCGTCAACAACCAAAGCGGATATACAACATCAGCGAATTTCCATCTCACTATCGCATTAAAGGGGGTGTGGACGATTCTGACCGGCAACTTTTGGGCGGCATCTACTCGGGTGTTACTTCCTCCTTTGAGTATGGTCTTGGCGAATCGACGTATATTGCCGCCTGGACGAGGATGCCTCGTTGGTCTGGAGTCGATTCAGACCCGGATTGGATTGTGGGCTTGAGAAACAAAAGATTGATACCCTCGCACTTCCAATTTCATTTCGGGCATGTTGGCATGACAGGGGTATGGGGATATCCGAGAAACAGACTAGACAAATCGCTATTTCGGTATGTGGTTGCGCCGCTAGCGTTGGAGCGGGAGCCGTTCGATGTCTGCCTCGTCGATGATGGCGGGTAGCCTGTGTTTGCATCAGCTTCCTCCAGCAATGAGCACGGGAGCTGATATGGAGAGGGTTCGTGTCATGGTACACGATTACGACCGCATCAAATGGAACTATCAGGTTCTTGAAAAGGAGATTGCAGTCCTCGAGACGCGTTCAAACAAGCTTGCGGTGTTCAAGCCCAAGCCTGACATTGGGGAGGGGGAGATTGGGAAACTATACCTGCGTCACATTGATAACCGTGATAGATGACGCAAGGATATGTACTGTCATGGAGCTGCCATAGTGAGAAAAAAGACTTGAATTCTGGCTGGGAGAAATGACTTTTCCAAGTGTGTGAAAAAACAAATAAATAAAAAATCACACCTGAATCAAAATTACGAAAGCAAAAGTTCTAGCTGGTGCTGGTTGTATTCGTCTCTTTTCCCGCAGATACCCCATTTTAAAGCACGACAGACACGATCCCCTCCCGAGTCGCAAGGGGGATTGATCTGTTTCGACAAGGGTTGAAAGTAGCGCGTATCGTAAACCCAAGTTGTTGCAGCGACACATTAAGCTGAAGCTGCTTGTATCGTCCCATCGAATCTGTTTCGTAGAGTTTGGGCTCCAGAAATCATGTAGTGATCACAGATCCAGGAGCTCAGCTGACCACGATGCCTTTTTCGAGCATCCTTCTAAAGTAATATCGGTACGCGAAGCCCTTTTCTATTTTTCGCATTTGTTTTTCATGTTCGCCACGCCAGTACACCGGTACTTCTGTTGTGGGGTCCGCGCATCATTCATGCGCGCAGCTTTCTTCGTGTCATCTGTCGTACTTGCCACCAAAATACAACGATAAAAAGTATATGTATAAAAAGGTTGCACCAAGACATTTTTCGAGTCCCTTTCCAGTGACAGATAGTAAGAAGGGAATAAGGAAGAAAACATAAGGGCAGAGATACGAATCTCTCTATTTTTGAGGTATAATTTTTGTTTGCTGCGCACTGAAAAAGCGGCTGAAGGGAGAAAAAAAGATAGCGGAGGGGAGAGGAGGAATAGGGGAAAGGGCAGGACGACTCGTGTCTAAAGCTACGCCCCCTCAGAGCTTGGAATAGCAGCATGCTCTTCGAGGGGAGGGGAGACGACCTGGGAATGTAGTGTAGCTTCCCGGGCTCAACTCCCGGATTCATAGGCTTAGGGTAGCTTAGGGTTAGAAGGTCACGAAAGGAACAAAATCTCTCAAATCTTGAGCACAGGAAGAGTGAAGAGGCACGGGAAAATACGGCCCGTTTCCCTTTTCACTTTGGCAGGCTTGGCTATTTTACTTATGTTAAACGTCTCATTACCATGAATTTCCTCGCGTCGGAACCCTACTCCCCAACAACTAGTTGTGCAATCTACAGATCCATATTGTCACTGGTATCGAATTTCTTTACGGCTCTTCTTTCTTTGCCCGCAGCTCGGCCTCTTTTTGCTTGACAATCTGCGACCAGGCCCCATCGTCCCGACTGGCCACTGCAAAGTTGGCGCGCCGGCGCTGCTCCTTTTCCATCTGTCCAAGGCATGACATCAGTCGGCAGAAGGGGGTGGAAACGAGAAAAGGCAGAGGGTAGAATAAAGGGTGGACAAATGTCCTGTTTTCATGACAAGCCTGCATTACGCAGTCTCCTCACATGCCGCCAGTCCCGTCAACTTTGATGCATCCTGAAATCTTTCCGCATTTGACATACCCGGAAGCACTTATCGAGAGCCCATTTTTGCTCATTGCACTCTCCCCAAAACTTGGCCCACGGATGTTCCTGATGGCATAATAGAAGGGCATCGATGACCTGCATGTCGTGTGGTAAGCAACCACGAAGTCAAAGAGAAGAGCATCTCATCATCATCGTTGACAGCTTACACTTATCGACGGAGAGGGGAGTTTCGACATAGCTCTCAGGGATTAGCAGATAGTCGTCGAACAGGTCAGTCGACCAGCGCTTCAGT